GTCTTCACTGTATTTATCGCAATGAGACCGATCAGTGGTCACAACATCAACATAACCTAAGATTCGATCAAGTGCTGATGCACAACATGAAAATTTCATGTAATGTGATCTTAACACGCCTATTTCCAACTGATCCATCTTAACTTTAATTCAGAACAACTGAATACTGAATTAAAACTGAATACTGAACAGTGCATACTGAATACTGCAATACAAAATAAAATAACCTTAGTGTATTTGAACATTACTAATTAGCTCCCACTAGACCAAAATATCTTATATGGTTCCACTTTCATACGAGCAACATGTTCATTATAGAACTTATGTGGAAACCTTTTAGTAATTAAGCGGATCTGCAATTATGGAAGCTATACGAATATGTTCAATAACTAATTCATGATATAAAGTCAGACTATAAAGTAAATAATGATTATTATTATCAAATGATGTACTAGTTCCAACCAATTTTTAATTATGGAAGAGACAAAACTCTATATCCGAATAAACAATAATAACCGAATTTGTTCAAAATAGAGATCAAAATTAAATTTCGACTAAAAATGGTACAAAAAATTGTCTCATCCACATCCAAATAATAACTAGTACTCAATAATAATCTAAAGTTTTATGTGACTTCAACTTTAACTTTCTTGTCGTCACCCATATAAATGTATCCTTCAACATCAATTGATTTCGACAATAAAATAATCTTGCATAGACACACTAATGTGTGTTACACCAAAATCCACCACTAGGTGTGTCTATAAACTGAAATTAAATTAATTTCAACAACAAGACCAATAGAATAAACATATCATCCGAAAGATCTAACTTAAGTGCCCTCAATTTAGTAGCAATATTAGACGTATTCAGGATGTACTCCCTTATGTTTCCTTTGTCGTTGTACTTCATGGTAATGAGACTCTTAAGAAGAATACTCATTTTCTGCCTTATCGCTTTTGGTAAAACGTTTCTTAATTTTGACAAGGAATCCATATCATCATATATCGTACTCCTAAAATTTATGGAATGATTTTCTTAATGATAATTAGACTTAGGCGTTGGACCTATCTCACTTCTCAAACAACTGTCTTTCATGAGCAGTGTTTTTCGCCATATGAGTGAGTTGGTCTATTATTAATACCAAGTCAAGATTCATGCAACCAAATGAATCAATAATGATTCTTGTTAGTGCTTAAAGTTGTCCCGAAACAGTGTTGGGACTAAATAAATATACACGTAAATATTCATGAAGTATAATGAAGCTCAATAATAATGCATTCTCATCCCAAGACACTAAGTGCAACATCAATGATCAATCTTTGGAGCAATAACATTGATTGCTAGCAGTCATCTTGTTGCAATAATCATATATGGATAATAATGTAATGTCAAATAGTAACCAATCTTTGGACTGATTCACTATTCACATAAGTTAAATTCATATAATCATGTCATACATATTATCGCAGATGTATATTTCATTCTTTCAATTATCAACTGCCTTTGGGCTGAAGAATAATCATATGAATTAAAATACACATAAGCACTTACGTTATCGAGTAAAAATTTCATATAAGAGAGGTTGCTTTGACACGTCAAATACTTGATATTCACCGTCAAAACGCAGCTTGCATTATTAATGAATTTATAATTTTCTTAAACTAAATTATAATCAGAATTACGTTCAATGTATACGAGTCTGATTCCATAAAAAAATAGAATGTTTATTACCAACTGAATGCACATGTCTATAAGCTACTGAATGCTCCGTATGTGAATTTATAAAATAAATTAGCAATCTTATCACAAATTATCGAGCAACATCACCAAATGTCGTTAGACAAATTATTGACTCGCCAGTGATAAACTTATTTTAACAATCGAATGTTGACAATACAGTAGTATGTCAAACAACACTCCATCTTTGGACAGATCTATTATTTACACACAAATAATCAAAATTATCATCACCACATTCAATGTCACTAAATATGTATGTAACTACTTAATGGCTGAGTTGCCTTTGGGTCAATCAGGAGCCTTATAAGTCACAAACACAACTTTCTAATACACAAAATAAACTGATTTACACAACAGAGGCTTCTTTGACAACATAACTGTTTCAACCAATTCATAAAATATATTATATTATTTATTGTTAATTAAATTCACCTTAAAATAAATATGTATGTCTAATATATATGAAAGCTATAACAACAGCAATTAATTTATGGACTTATTAAAATAATCAAGTAGTCCAGAAAGTACCAAATGTAGCGTGATCATATACAAAATATGTCACCCAAAAAGACTATAATTTAATACACCAAATAATTATAGTCGAATTTGAATAAACGCATGCTGTCAAAATACATGCTGATATAATTCAAATTTAATTGGACTATCAAACAAATCATAATGAATATTCGATTTTATAAAATCAGCACTAAAATAAATATAATCTACTCATATAAGATTATTTACATAATTGCAACTTCAATCATATATTAAATAAATATGAATGCAGCACTTCGTAGTACGAATTTTCCAAACTGATAATGAAAATTGAAGCAAACAACCCGATTACGAATCGCAAAATTTTGCCCACGGCTTGGACAATAGAGCAAATCCAATATATATTTCAAACTCCACCAAAGTTATTAATAATAATAACATTATCCTCGTCGTAATCAAACTCTAGCAATTAATTAAGTTTGATTAAATAATTAAGTGATCTAATTAGGATAACCAAATATCCATTCAATAAAAATAATTATCCACGCCGGCAATAGCAGACAGTTGAACAGATATATCCAAATATATGCATGTCTGATCACATAAAATTTCATAAATTATTAAAATTAATGGGAAGTGTGCTGAGTAATGAATTCATGATATTACCATGTCGTACGTACCACATGATCGATTCTTGATGCATATATATTTTAATTCATTTATTGTGACATACCACATGAATAATCTTGGTATCTTCTTACACAACCCTATGTATTCTAATTTTTTTTCCTGAATTTGTGGTATCCCTTAATCTTTATAATTTATTAAAAGTTCGAACTGATTAGGTCGAAAGCACCAAACCTTTTCCCCAAAAATTAGGGCAACCGATCTCTAGACTCAACAATCGTTCCTCAACAATCAGATCACAACATGGAACACGGTTTTTTTTTTTTGGGCTGCCTACGTATCCAAACGAGATCAAGTCATACGTAGTTCTACATACAAGCTATACAGTCTCAGTAAAGCAAACAGACAAGACCAGCTAATAGTAAGTATCTAGCCTAAAAGGCATAAATCAAATACTAAGTGATCAAGTCTAAGTAATAACAATCAATGCTAAGTCTAGAATCAAAGAATAGGGAGAGGCCTACTACTACCTGAAACGGAAGGACGGAAGGCCATCGGCGTCCGCTCGAAGGAGGCCTCGAAGCGACGAAGGAATATTTGAGGGGAGAAGCGTCGTCTCCATCGGGAGGGAAACCGCCAAAATCGCTAAGGCATCTGCTACACACAACACGGAAAACGGTTGCGAGGCAAACATAACAAAAATCAAACAACTGAGAGATTTGGGGAACGCAGCGAACACATACTTCATTTATCATACATAAGTAATGATCAATGGACAAATGGACAAACAGACGTGTGCAGCGATTTCAAGAATGAAGACAAATGGATTCATGTATGATGAAACTCATGTCAATATTTCCAATAATAGACACATAAGCATAATGACATCACACAAATTCAATATTTCTTAACTAAATTTGATTAAGCAATGATTTCATATAATGAAAAGGTTAAAAAACAGCACCAAAGCAGACAAATCGGTTGATCTGATTCCAAAATAATTTTAATTCCGAACGATTCATATAGCTGCTGTGTTCGGCCAATTCGATGACAAAAATCACGCAAATTTAACTCCGATCAACTAAACATCAGTCGATCAAATAAAATATCTCAATAATTCAACACTTAATAGCTCTGATACCAATTGTTGGAACTTATAAGGAATTTAACCCTAAGCCGAAGATCTACCGTGTTGTATTAATTGAGACAAGAATAAAGCAAATTAGATCTAACGTTATTCCTTAGCATAGTCGGATTCAAATCTGCAAATTGGTTTCTACTGTTTCTACCACGATGAGATATAAAACGTAATGGTTGTTGCGTCTAGACATCACACTTATTATTAATTGGTCTCATCACTCAATTAATAAGTTACCGGTTTCTGCACATAGGAGGTCCGCACTTACTAAATACATATAAGCCCAATAAATTAATAAATCACTTAATATAACTGATAGCCCAAATAGTTAATTACAAGATTTATAATCCAATATTTTGTACTATTTAATTTTTTATACTTTTTTAAAATTATATTACAATTTACAAAAAATCAAATTTAATTTATTGTTAAAGCATTTAATTTTTACGATTTTTAAGAAATTGTACTAAACTATAATCTTAAAATAATCCTATATAATTTATAATTTTTTTAAAAAAAATTACTAAAAATATTTTTTATGAATTCTCATTCGTTAAATTTTTTTATTTTTTTATCTAATTAATCATTTATTTTTATTTGATCAATTTTTTTTATATTTCTCACCTGAAACGCCCCTAATGGTAAAAGAAGAAACCATCAACACATCCATTTTCTATTTTATTAATTCGTTATCTCCAAGGCAAAAATATTTAAGAATTCACATCAATATCCAAGTAAATATTTTTCAAAAGTGTTAACGGGGTTTTCTAGAATTTTAAGTATAATAAAATATTGAATGAAAAATAGTTAATTTAATATAAATAAGTGTTGAATACGATATTTTTAATATAATATTTATAATAAAAAACAGAAATATCAAATATAATATATTTTACTAATATAAATTTTATTAAATTGTAAAATAATAATTTGAAAATATACATAAATAGAATCGTAATAATCAACTTGACGTAAGATCACATAACAAGAAAGCCAGTTAAGAAGATCTAAGAAACTCTTGGAGACTCGATCGAAACAATGCGTAGACTGCACGCCATCCGGCCTCAGTTGGATGCACATCGTCCCAGAAGAAAGCCGATCTCGGATCACTACAAACCGTGTACAATTTCTTGCCATTGTCGTCCACACTCCCGCACGAATACTCACTGCTTACGCCGATGCAACAAGGCTTCAATAGACTCTGGAATTTCAAATCACCTGTTTCGTATAGAAGTAAAACAACTTGTTACCGCGCAAAAAATGTGTTAGTCACAAATATCGTTTTACTCCATATGTTATTTATAAATATATTTATGTTTGGTCGAGTAATTAGGGGTGGATACGGTTCGGTTATTTGCAAATATGAAAGTATTTGAAATCTGAACTGAACTCAACAAATACCTGAAACTGCGAAACGTATTCGAACAAAAAAATTTCGATTAACTAAAAATATTTGCAATATTTGCAAATAACTCGAATGGAACTGAACCAAAATTAAGAAAAAATACATTAAAAAATAATTAAAATTCTAATTAAATAAAAAATATTTTCAAATATTTCAAATATCCGAACCAAAATCGAACCGAATGTAATTATTAATATAAATTTATAATATAATAATATAAATATATTTGGTTCGGTTACCGAACCAAAAAAGATATCAAAAATCAAAACCGAACCGAACCGAACAAAAATAAAAAACTGAAACCGAACCGAACCGAACCAAACAAATATCAAATATGCAGTATTTGTATTCAAACTGAATTTGATCAATTTATCGAAAATTTGGTTTGGTTTGCCGGTTCGGTTCAATTCGAGTTTTTGCCCACCCCTTGAGTAATAAATATAAGTGTAAAATACTTTTGTCTGTGTTGTAAGAGCCCACGTCTAATAAAGAATGTATGTTGAAAGGGATATTTTGAAATACTTTACATGAAATGTGAAATATTTTACTATTTTTGTCCCACTTTATTTCATTTTTTTTGAATTTTTGTAGTAAATTAAAAAAAAATAATAATACTATTATTTTATTATTTAGTAGAAATAGGTAAAGTGATTTGATATCTTTGTCTTTTCTACATAAATTAATTGTATAGATTTATAATTTATGTAAAAATTAAAATTATTTGGTATTAGTATATGATTTCCTTTTACTATAATAAAAATATGATATTTTTAAGGGAGACGTATAAAAATAGTAAAAGAAAAATAAAAAATTTCAGTTGAGACAAATAATGTATTAATATTACAATGTTACATTTACTAATTAAAAAAAACTTATTTATTATATAAGGACACCCTAAATAGTAAAATATATTTATTATTGGTGGATGGAGGGGTATATTTAAATCAATCCTAATCTTACCTAGTGAGTCTTGTCTAGAATCGAGCACGGCCGTGAAGGATCGGTAGAAATCCATGACAAAATAAGAGGTGCTTTTCAACATGTTGTTCAATCCAGCCACGGCTTGCTGTAGCAGGAGGTTGTGGTAATCGGCAATCATGTTGTCGGTGGCGTTGCATTTCTTGTAGGAAGACGGTCGAGTTATGTTTGGGAGGCAGCCCAATGGCGGTAGAGTCGTCACGACAACTTTTGATGCTCCAAGGCGGGATATATGCCTTAAGTTCGCCACTAGTTGAACGATCACTGAAGGAATGAACTTTACGATGTCCTAAGAATAAGACAACATAAGAAAAGGACAAAAAATTATATACGATGCTTTGGAAAGTAGATTCTGCTAACTTACCTCGATATTTCCGCCTTTGGAGATGTAAGCGCCATAGTCGTTCCCAGAGAGGCAAACAAGAACGAGAGAGGAGTGGATGTCGTGTTTGGTGTAGACGGAGGTTTCAATGAGATTCTCAAAGAAGTCGATTTGAGTAGTCATATTAGGTAAATTGGCATAAGTGTCAAATACGCCGCTTCCTCCGTATGCAAAGTTCATTCCGGCGCGAAGCTTGTCGCTGCCGGCAAGCTGCATCCATGTGTAGGGGAATGGGGAGCGGAACCCCAAGGAGTGGGCTGTAATTTGATAAAGCTATTAGTGTTAACTTAAATAGTACTTCCTCCGACTTAGTTCAAATGTCTCGTTTATTAGTGACACGATTTTTAAGATAATAAAGTTTAATTAGTTAATAATATTGAATTAAGATATTATTTTCTAATGTTTTTGTACTTAAGTAGTATTGTTGTAGTTTTAAAATAAGAATTATATATAAAGTTAAAATAAATTTAGAATATGTGTTTAAATATTTTAAATATCATATTTCAATAAAATATACTCCCTCCGTCCCAAAAGAATTGTCTTGTTTTTTCATTTTCGTCGGTCCCAAAATAATTGTCATGTTTCCTTATTTAGTAATCGTGGTCCCCATTTTATAACAAAATTATTCATACTTTTTCAAACTACCCCTAATTATTACTCTAACCTACTTTTTAAAATCCTTCAAAAAGTAAGGATATTTTAGTCTTTTACATTCTATTTTATGTTCACTTTCAATTAAATACTATTATTTCTTAATTCCCGTGCCAACTCCCAACAAGAGGCTTTTCTTCTGGGACGGAGGGAGTATGTAATATGAATATTTTTAAATAATACCAATAAATAAAACATATATTTATTTATTTATAATTAAGATATATTAGTTTTACAAAAACGAAGGAGTTTTAATGTAAATAATAATAATTTTTATTTTGAGATAAAAATAAAAAATTTTTGAATGGTCCCACGTGATGTATGATATTTTATGTTATAAAGTTAATTAAATTAATTTATATTTGTTAATTAAGTTTTAACGAATGAGAATTTATGAAAACAAATTTTTGATGACTTTTCTAAAATTATAAATTATATACGTTGTTTTTGTAAAATCGTATTTTTATACAATTTTTAAAAAAACGTAAACATTAAATACTTAAATAATAAAAAATATATCATTTTTGTAAAATTGAAATAATATAATTTTAAAATTATTAAAACTAAATAGTACAAAAAAGATAAAAATAAATAAAAATAAAATTATGCAATATTCATCTCTCTGGATAAGAAATGAAAATAATATATTTTTTCAGTTTCATTTCTTTGACTCAAACAAACGAGAAAAATAAAAATATTTTCATTTTTGTACTGTCAATTTCTTATACCAAACAACCCCGAGGGAGAAAAAAAAGGAAGGGAAAAATAATTAAGGGAAGAATGGAAGGAGGAATAGTAGAAGAAGAAGGAAGAAGGAAGTTTTGGGGGAAATAAAATTGGGTGTGTATAATTGTGAAGTTTTGGTTTTGAGTTTTGATATTGAATAGTAAAATTTTGAATTGAAATAATTATTTAATTTGAAATAAATATGTATTGATTCGATGTTTTGAATGTAAAATTAAATTTTAATGTAATAAAATAAATAAAAAATAAGTGTTTGATTTGATATTTTTAGAAGGAAAATAAAGTTTGAATAATAAAATCAGAGATAAAATTTAGAGTTTCGTTGGAAAGTTGGCGGTTGTGATGTTTTATTAGGTGTTCTGTTGTTTATTTTTTTTAAAAAAATTATTTAATAGGTTCGGAAAATTCCGAACTTCTTTTATTGAGAAATACATATATTTATATAATAAAGTCTCAAAAAATCCGAGATATTTAATATAATTAAATATATATTTAGATTAGTTTCAGAAATTTTGAAACTATTTCATGTAAAGCCGTCAAAATGGGTTGAGCCCGTCGGATTGGCCTGCCCCGCCTCATTTTTTAGGAGGGTTGAGTTGTGATTTTGTAAGCTCGTTAAAATGCAAGCCTAAACGAGCCAATCCACGTGGGCCGTGGGTTGAGAGTGGGTTAGCCCGCAGTGGGGCAGACCGAGTAAATATAATAATTAGTACGTATCAACTAAATATATTTTTTTTATTATTTTTTACTGTCAAATTAAAAAATTACTTTCGATTTTTCATCATTTATTTTGTTCGTATCTCATTTTATTGCTTTATAATATTTTTTTGTATTCTAGAATCTAAAATTCATAATTAATTATGATTTATTTGTAAAATATTTCTTATTATTAATTTTTTTAAATACAATAACTAATAATATTTAGAATTGAGAATTTTTATATTTTTTATTTATTTTAAAATATTTATTATTTAAATTCTACAATAAAACTATTTTTAGTTATTTTTAAATATTAATTACAAAAATATTTATCATATTAATATTTTTAAAAAGCCCGTAGGCTAGCCCGCTTAGCTCGCCACCTGCTGTTGGATTGGATTGGGTTGATAAAATTTTGATCCGCCCTGCCGCGGGTTGCCCGCAAACAATCATTTTTTTTGCGGGTTATGTTGGATTATGAGTTACTAACCCGTTTTGACAGGTCTAATTTCATGTAATAAAATATATATTTAATATGCCATCAGAAATTCTGAAATAATTTAATATAATAAAATATATATTTAATTAGACTTAAAAAATTACCACACTATTTAATATATTAAAATATATACTTTATTTGACCTCGGAAATTCCGAGACCATTTAATATAATAAAATAAATATTTAATTTGGCTTCGGAATTTTCGAGATCATTTCATATAATAAAAAATATATTTAATTTAGTTTTAAAAATTTCGAAACCATTTAATATAATAAAATATATATTTAATTTGATCTCAGAAGTTCCGAGATCATTTCATATAATAAAATATATATTTAATATGGTTTCGAAAATTCCAAAGCGATTTAATATAATAAAATATATATTTAATTTGGCATCGAAACTTTCGAGACCATTTCATATAATAAAATATATATTTAATTTAACTTCGAAAATTTTGAGACCATTTCATATAATAAAATATATATTTAATATGACATCAGAAATTCCCAAGCAATGTTATCCGTATTTTCCCGGTCTCGTAATTGATTCCGAAGCAATTTTTCGAGATTATTTATAAAATTTATGATAGTGAATTTAAGGTATTTTATACATCGAATATAAAGTATCATGTTCACTATGTTTTAGATAAATGTATTTTTTACATTAAGTATAGAAAATTATGTCGTTAAAAGAAAATTATGTCGTTAAAAGAAAATTATTATTTTGAGTTAAATTATAGACTTTTTTGTGTAAATAAAATGCATATATTATATGTATATATTATATTAACATGTATATTCATTATAATTTTTTATATAGTATTTTGGATAAATTGTATAATGCCCTCTAGTTATTTAGTATAAGTGGGCAAAAATATTTGACATTTTAGTTAATGTTTGAAACTTTTTGTGTTAATTTAAAGTAATTATTTTCATTCAAATTAAAATTAATATTTAGTTGTAAATACACACCTAATTACGTAAATTTTTTATAAATAATATATTTTAAAATTCTTATTTGAATAAAATAAATAAATAATTGATTATTCTCATTTTATAATTTTTTTTTCTAAATAAGTAACAATTCGTTTCTAAAAAATTATTAGATGAATGATCGATTTAATTATTTAGTTATTTATTTGATTAAAAAAAAAACTATTTAAGATATTTTATTTTTTTATTTGTATAAAATTTATATAATTAAATGTACGTTATAATTAAACATTAGCTTTAGAAGAAGATGATATTTTGTATATACTTTAATTTAAATATACTATTGTTTCTATTATTGAAAATTTTAAATTCTTAAATAATTACTATTTAATATCTGAATTTTTCATTACAATTTATCATATAACCTAGAAATAAGAAATACATGTATATTTTAAAATAAAGCAGATTTTTCGTGTTGGCCCCAAAACCCGACGCCCCGGTGCCATTTCTAGTTTAATTAAATTTAGTTACCGATGTAATCGGAGAGGACGCGGCCGTCGGAGAAGCGGCCAGAAGGCTTTCCGGGGAAGGTGGTTCCATAGGGGTCCTTCCATGATTTTGCGAGCGATTTTCTTAGGTTTCCGGTGTCGGCGTAAGAGTCTCCGAATACAAACAATTGCTTTGGAGACGATGCTGAAGATGAGGCCTGCACCTGGTACTGGTAGTATCCTCCTGCAAATTTCAAATTTAATTAATTAATTAACTCATTTTTGATCTAAAAACGAGTGATCTTTATATTATTAATTAATGAAAGAGAAGAGATTTAATTGAATGAGCTAGTACTGATGATCGAGAGCTGTACTGTATATTATGAAATTAATTAATTGATTAATAATAATAATAATAATAATGTGGATGATCGGACCTAGTGAGATTGAGATGAGAAGAATAAAAAGGCAGCAGAGATGGGTGGAGATCATCTTCAATTCCATTTATATATCTCAGAATTAAATCTTAACAATAACAAGACGAAGATGAAGATGAAGATGAAGATGAAGAATGAAAGAAAGATGATCGTTCCATATATATATACATATATATATATATATATTATTGGATACATTTGGCTTATTCTCTAATCATTGTTTTTGCAAATCTTTTTTTCAGTTTTTTTAAGTATATATATTGATTGCATTGACTTGGAGATTTTATTCGATTGTCTTGATTTCGTAATCTTAAAGATCTACAAAAATATACTCCTTTTTCTTCACAACAAAAACATTGCATCAATTCAATATTTAAATATAAAAAATAAAAATAAAAAATCACAAAGTAAACACACTTTCGTCTTTCTATTAACTTTGAAATAAAATAACAATTAAGTTAATGATTAACTTAAATGGTCGGAGCCTACAACAAGCCATAATAGGGAGGATAGCCAAATTGTAATAATTTTGATTGCAAATAATCATCAACCATTAATCATAATCAAATGTTGACCCCGAATCGCCTTATGAATAATACCGAAGATTGATCATAATTGAGGGTTGGCTTAAGAAAACTATTAGAATACAAAGTATAAGACATATGCGAACAAGTGTCCGGACATAGAAAATAAATACGAAGATTGGTTTTTGTATATGAAAAAAAAAATTATGTTATACGAATTGATCGAAAAATCTGATTTCTTAAGATTGATGACGAAAAATGTATAAAACACTAATTTTCATACGAAAAATCACATCTAATAATGATTTTACTTCAAAGGTTTCATAACTCAAAATACATTAAAAAAAAAATTATTTGTTTACTGAGTTTGTTCGATAACTTTTTTTTTCATTGTGAAATACTTATTGAATCTGAAATATTATTTGAAATTTTTCAACATAGGAAATTATAATGTTGTGTCGTAAAAAAAATTGAAAAGAACAAGAAATCAAATAGAACAAAATCTTGTGGTTATTTCATTATTATTATTATTATTGAGAAAAAATAATTATTTAATACTCCCTCCGTTACTTTTGAAAGTGGCTTTTTGGAATTTTGTAATAAATTAAAAAAATAATTATTTTATTAGTTAGAAGAAGTGTTTAAGAAGATTTGACATTTTTGTCATTTGACTTGATATAAAAAGTAAGTGTATATGTAATTGTATATTTGTAATTTCAATAAAAGTTAAATTTATTTTGATAGTAGTGTACGATTACTTTTACTAAAAAAAAAATATACTTTGAAACAAGACAAATAAAAATAGTAAAATTGATACTTTGAAATAACAAGAGGGAGTATTGATATTTTATATAACAACTAGATATTAAATTACACATTTAGAAAAATCGCAAGATGAAATAATAATAATAATAATAATGTTGTGTTGTTATTTTAATCAAAATTATATTCTATATTTATTTTATGCTCTATTTATATATATATATATATATTTAGTTTGATTTCAATTTTTGCGTAACTATGACATTTCACTATAAAAATACACTTTCAAACTTTTTATTTGATTTTTACATGCTAATATTTTAGAGATTTGTAAGTATGATAAAGTAGTATAATATTTATTTTACAATTGACATTAATAAAATAATATGAAAAATAAAAAATATGAATAATTTGATATTTAAAAATTATAGTTATTTTTACTATTAAAAAAAAAAAGAAAATAAGAATGTTTTACTTGGCTTCGAGTGATGGGTTAACGCAGTGATTAATTCTTGAAATTGACAAACTCGACTTTGAGTAATGGATTCCGCAGACATTTGAATCCTTAAAAATTGGCGTCCGCATTAATTCCAAACGTTAATCAATTTGAATCCAACTGGGTATACGGAATTAAAACTTCAAATTGATGCGAATGAAAGTTACATTACATTAAACATATTTAAGTTTTGAAGAGAACATGAAAGATTTCGGTATGAACCATAACGTTGTCTAAAGCCTAGAAATAATTAAAAAATAATTAGATTTGAATAAAGAATTTATGTTAGAACTTATCAGGAATTTAACCCTAAGTCTAAGATCTACCGTGTTGTAATAATTGAGATATGAAAATAAAGCGAAATAAATCTAACCTTATTCCTCAGTATAGTTGGATAAAGATCTGCAAATAATGGAAGAGTTTTGTGTTCTTCAAGCTTATGACGCAACCCCTCCTGAGAAAACCGCTAGGGTTTCTGCTGTTACTCCCACGATGAGATAGGGAACGTAATGGTTGTTTCCGTCTAGACCTGAGATCACAACCCTATTTATATCTCTTATTATTAATTGGCCTCATCACCCAATTAATAAGTTGCCGGGTTTCTCCACATAGGAGGCCTGCACTTACTAAATAAATTTAAGCCCAATAAATCAATAGATCACTTAATATAGATTTAACCCGACTAATAGCCCAAATAGTTACATTTAACCCATAATTGGATTTTTAATCCAACAATCTCCCACTTTGGTAAATGTACACTGAATAACCTTATGAGCTCATGAAATTTTGCTTTCAGATTTTCTAATGTATATTACCAATCTTATCTATAAGTCACATCAATGCGGATCAAAGCGGCCGTCACTGCATTTATTGCAATGGGACCGATTAGTGGTCACAACATTAGTATAACCTAAGATTCGATTAAGTGCGGATGCACAAAATGAAAATTTTATGTAATGTGATCTTAACATGCCCATTTCCAATTGATCCACCTTAACTTTAATTCAGAACAACCGAATACTGAATTAAAACTGAACACTGCACACTGAATATTGAACATTGAATACTGAACTGTGTAGTGTAAACCAAAGTAACTTTAATAGTATTTGAACATTACTAATCAGCTCCCACTAAACCGAAGTATCGAAATATGGTTCCACTATCATATGAGCAACAAGCTCATTTTGGAACTTATGTGGAAACCCTTTAGCAATTAAGCGGCTCCACAATCATGGAAGCTATATGAATATGTTCAATAAATAATTCATGATATAAAGTCAGATTATTAAGTATATGACGATTATTATCATCAAATAATGTACTAGTTCCAATCAATTTTGAATTCTGGAAGAGACAAAACTCTATATCCGAATAAACAATAATAACTGAATTTGTTCAAATAGAGATCAAAATAAATTTCGGCTAAAGATGGTACCATAAAAAATGTCTCATCCAAATTCAAATAGTAATGTGTACTCAATAATAATCTAAAATTGAATGATTTCAACTTTAACCTTCTTGTCGTCACCCATATAGATGTATCTTTCAACATCAATTGATTTCGACAATAAAATAATCTTGCATAGACACATTGATATGTGTTGTTACACCAAAATCCACCCCCAAGTGTATCTATGAAGTGAAATTAAATTAATTTCAAGAGCAAGACTAATAGGACAAACATGTCCTCCTAAATGTCTAACTTAAGTGCCTTCAATTTAGTAGCAATAGTAGACATGTTCATGATGTACTCTCTTATCTTATATTTGTCGTTATACTTTATGGTAATGAGACTCTTAAGAAGAGTACGCATTTCTGCCTTATCGCTTTTGGTAAAGCGTTTCTTAATTTCGACAAGGAATTCATATCATCATATATTCTACTCTTAAAATTTATAGAGTGCTTTTCTTAATGATAATTAGACTTAGGTGTTGGACCTATCCCACTTCTCAAACAACTGTCCTTCATGATCAGTGTTTTCTGCCGTATGAGTGAGTTGGTCTATTATTAATGCCAAGTCATGATTCATGCAACCAAATGAATCATAATGAAGCTCAATAATTATGCATTCTCATCCCAAGACACTAAGTGCAACATCAATGATCAATCTTTGGATCAATAACATTGATTGCTAGTAGTCATCTTGTTGCAATAATCATATACGGACAATAAGTAATGTCAAACAGCAACCAATATTTGGAGTGATTTACTATTCACATAAGTTAAATCCATATAATCGTCTCATACATACTATCGCAGATTTATATTTCATTATGTCAATTACCGACTGTCTTTGGGCCGAAGAATAATCACATGAATTAATATACACATAAACACTCATGTTATCAAGTAAAAAAAATCTTATATAAGAGTGGTTACTTTGGCAACTTCAGATACTTATCTTCACCATCAAAACGCAGCATGCATTATTAATGAATTTATAATTTTCTTAAACTAAATTATAATCAGAATCACGTTCAATGTATACGAGTCTGATTCCATAAAAAATAAAGAGTGCTTATTAGCAACTGAATGCACATGTCTATAAGCTACTGAATGTTCCATATATGAATTTATAAAATAAACTAGCAATCTTATCACAAGTTTTCGAGCAACATCAACAATCGTCTTTGAACAAATTACTGACTCCCTAGTGATAAATTTGTTTTGACAGTCGAATGTTGACAATAAAGTAGTGTGTCAAACAACACCCTATCTTTGGATAGGTTTATTATTCACACAAAAATAACCAAATTATCATCACCACATTTAATGTCACTAAATATGTATGTAACTACTTAATGGCTTACTTGCCTTTGGATCAATCAACATCGTTATAAGTCACACGCAACTTCTAATATATAAAATAAACTGATTTACACAGCAGAGGCTGCTTTGGCAACATAACAATTTCAACCAATTCATAAAATAGATTATATTATTTATTGCTAATTAAATTTACCTTAAAATAAATTATGTAGGTCCAATACATATGAAAACTATAACAACAACAATTAATATATGGACTTATTAAAATAATTAAATTGTCCAATAAAGTGCTAAATGCAGCGGAATTACACAGGAGAATTACACAGGCAAAAATATGTCACCCAAAGAGACTATAAATTAATATATTAAGTAATTATAGTCAAATTTGAACAAGCGCATGCGGTCAAAAATACATGCTGATGTAATCCGAATTTAATCGGACTATCAAACGAATCATAATGAATATTCGATTTATAAAATCAGCACTGATGAATAAATAAATAAATTCTGCATGTATTAAATCTAATTTCAGATACAATAACATACACACATTAATTAATAAACGATGCAA